TATTTTAGGGAAAGGTCTACAGGGTGTTCAGAGTCTCACTACTAGATCAGACTTGTAGTGATCCTCCTATTTACAGCCTCTCAAGAGCTGGGATTAAGGCATGCCACCATGGATCGAACCCCCGGCCCATGCGCTTCATCTTGTTTTTAATCTCTATTACTCTTCTTGCCCTTAACCTTTTTTATTATTACTATATTTTTTTTGGATAGCACTACTACTTGCATACATATATTTGTTTGCAGTCTGTTTTCTTCCATGAAATTATGTACTCTTCAGAGGCAGAGATTTTAATGTGTTAGTCACTGTTGGTCACCAGTGCCTCTTACTTTACTTTATCAGCACTTAATAGGTACCCAACAAATATTGGTTGAATAATCAATCCAGCTTCTTCAAAAGGGAGAGCCTTAACCTTTGTGAGTGGGGTCAGTAAACCAAACTATGGGAGGGTGAGTTACTGTCTCATACTCTAAACCTACCACAATGCCTAGCATAGTATAGGAGTTCAATATTATGAAAATAGAATTTGTGCTGGGCCTGCCCTTGGGGCTTGCTGAGATGACAATTGAGACTGGGCGTGGTGGTGCTCACCTGTAATCCCAGCACTTGGGAGGCTGTAAACAGTAGGATCATTAAAGTCTGATCTACTTAGTAAGACCCCATAGACCTTGTAGACCCTGTACTAAATACAAAAAAAAAAAAAAAAAAAAAAAAAAAAAAAAAAATCTGTATTAAATGAAAAACAATAGTAGCTTAAAAAAAAAGATGTATTTCTAAATACATCTAAATAGATCTTTATGTTTATTTCTTTGGTGTGGGGTTAGGGATAAGTAGTGATAATGCCGCTATCATTCTGAATGACCAGAAAGATTTATGGTCACTTGTTAGGCTATTCATGAGTAATTTTCAGTTTTTCACAAAGATGATTGATTATATTTTAATCTGTGTTTTAGAGTCACAGATACAGTGGTAAGCTCAAAACAAAAGCTGCTAAAGCTTTTGGAATTTTTTGTCTGGATTGATTAGAGGGTTGCCCCAACCTTGGGACTGCAACAATAAGCTAAAGGAATAGTAAAAGAGCTTCAGGTTGGGGCATCTTTACATTAGGGGCTTTTTGTTTTTTAAATCTACAGTGTTCTTCAAGGTATCCAGAGTGGATTATTATTTTTACTTTCTACGTCTCCACTCACATTTTATATGTTTTTTCCCCTTCATCTTGTTTTTATCTTCTTTTCTTTCTTTCTTCTTTTTTTTTTTTTTTTTTTTTTTTTTTTTTAAACCAGGAATTGAACTCAGGCCCTTGGGCTTGCAGGGAAGCGATTATTCCAGTGAGCCATCTCCCCAGCCCCTTCACAGGCATTTTTTAAATTCAGTAAAGTAACTAAACTGTTAGAAGACGATAAATGGTATTCCAATAAGATATTTTTGAGACTGGGACTTGCTATGCCCTTCAGGCTGGCCTTGAGCTCTGTGAGATTTCTGGTGCCTTAATAGAATACATAGATAGTTTTTTTTTTTTTTTTTTTTTTTTTTTTGGCACAGGGATCAAACTCAGGTCCTAGAGCTTGCCAGGCAGGTGCTTATGCCCTTGAGCTATATCCCTGCCTGACAGTTTTTTTTTTTTTAATAGTTGTAAAAGAGTTTTGGATTCACTTAATCATTAGGCAGTTTACTTCTTGTTATATTATTTTGGGTAAATGAGAATTTATTGTAGTGGAATAGTTCAGTTTCTTTTTGACATAAGTGTGTGTGTGTCTTTTTGAGGCAGTCTCACTATGTAGTTCAGCCTGGCGTTGAGCTCATTTTGTAGCCCAGGCTGGTGATGGAGGTTTTTTTTAACCTTTTTTTTTTTTCCTTCCATGAGTCGCAATCTTCAATGTACCAAGTGATTAATATACAGCTCTAGCTATTGTGCTATATCTTTATTACCTAAAAAAGAAAATAATTTATCAATCCAGCTAAGACTGATCTTACATAGATACAGAAACCTAAATAAAGAGAAGCTGGAAGAATACAGCAGTTTATGAGAGGTTGATGTGCCATGATAATGCAGAGTTTATTTTAGAAATTGTAGGATGGTTTACTATCAAAAGTTTGTTAAATCTTACTTGGCATGTTAACAAGTGAATGCAACACAAAACCATTGTAGGTACTGATGCATGCTCTTGACAAACCAACCAACCTCAACTCTTACATTAACTAAAAAAGTTTACAATAAGTACTATTTACAAAAAAATGGGCATCATTCTATTTTTTTTAATTTTAAAATTTCTGTGTGTGTGTCTTTTTGAGTCAGGGTCTTGCTGTGCAGTTCAGGCTGGCCTTGAACTTGTAACAGTCCTCCCACCTCAGCCTCCCAAGTGTTAGGATGTCTTAGTTACTCTTCTTTCATTGCGGGGACAAACTCCCGCCACTCAAAATGAAGAAAGGAAAGGCTTATTTAGCTCACAGTCACTGGAAGTTTCAGTCCACACTCAGCTGGCTCCAAGGCAGGGCGGCACACAGCAGAGGGCAAACCTTCATGGTGGTGGCAAAGAGCAAGAGCACAAGGGAGGGGTAGCAGCAGCAGTGCAAGCAGCTAGCTTCTCTTCCCACCTTACATTGTAATGCAAATTACCTGCCCCAGGGCAGGTGCAGCAACCACACCCACAGTAATCAATCACAAACTCAAGAAGCTGCCCCAAGACTGCATGAGGCTTTGGGGGGGACACTTAGACACAAACCATAACATAGGATTATAGGAGTGCACTACCATGCCAAGCACAAGCATTGATGTCTTACATTGTTTTGGATATTTTAGGTAGTGCATTAAGAAAAGGAAATAAAATAATATGGGAAAGATGATACCGTTAAGAAACAAAATTACCTCTTGATTCACATGAGACCATAAAACAGTGAGATCAGGGCTGGTGAGATGGCTCAGTGGTCTAAAGCACCTACTTGGAACAAGCTTGGCAAAGCACAGGGACCACGGTTTGATCCCCCAGCACCACATGCCAGCCAGCATTGCCCCCTGGTGGGCTGAGCTGGCCACACACACACACACACACACACACACACACACACACACACTCTAAATGTTTAAAAAAAAATTAAAAAAAAAACATCGCATGGGAATAAATTAAGCATAAAATAAATGCAAATTAAAAAAAAAACAGTGAGATCAGGTGTCAAAATTTTAAAAAGGGGACTGAGGAAGTAGTTTGGTGGCATAAATGCCTGCCTGGCAAGCCCAAGGTCCTGAGTTGGATCCCCAGTACCACATGTGGTGTTTGTTGGCCTGGGTATCAAGCACTAAGGAGGCAGAAGCAGAAGGATCACTATGAGTCTGAACTTCATAGTATGACCCTGTATCAAGGAAAACAAAACAAAACAAAATTTAAAAGGGGTTGGAGATGTATCCCAGTGAGAAGACCCTGGGTTCAGTCCCAAAGACCATGAAATATGATGGGGTTTAGAGAGAGAATGTGAGCATATGAATGGAAGAGTGACATTAAACAGTAGTGAAAACTCTGGATGTAGTTAATGGCAATAAGAAAACACAAGAAAGGCTTTAGAAACAATATATAATTTAATGTGACTTAATGTTTTTAAACATCTGTGTAGGGTAAAGAATAGAAATGGAGTTCAAAAAAATGCCTCTTTTGTTCATTAACAGATAATGATTTATGCTAGTGTGTATATGAAGCAAAGATGAGGACAGAGTTTTACAGTTACAGCTTGCAGATAAATTAAATGTGAGAGTTGAAGGAAAGTGAGTAATTAATAAAACTAAGTTTTTGGGAAATGCAAAAATACTCATGGGGGGCTGGGGAGATAGCTCAGTGGAATAAGTGCTTTTGCCTGGCAAGCGCAAGGTCCTGAGTTCAATTCCCGGTACCATAAGAATAAATAAAAACAGAAAAAGTAAAAAAAAAATCATGATATTGTATAGAAGACCTAAATTGTAAAATTTTCTTAATTCATATGTACATTTATTCCATTTGAAATTATTTTTTAGTTTTAAAAATGTATAGTAAAATAGTCTTAAAGTTATGTGTAAGGGTAAATATTCAAGATTAGCCAAAAGAGGCTGCTTCAACAAAGTAGTCAGGCTCAGGTTGCTGTGGTTGATCCCCATAACTTAAGCCAGCCAAACATGCCCTGAAGGCATTCGGAGCAAAAGAAAAATTAGCCAAAAGAATTAAAAAAAATATATAGTGAAAGGAGGCCACTTTATCGTTATAAAACTTCTTTGGTAAAGAGTATAGCATTGGCATGGTGGTAATAAACAAGTTTGTGAGACAGAATAGAATGCCTTAAAGAAAATCCTATTGTAGGGGCCAGCCAAATAGCTCAGCAGATTAAAGCACCTGCAAGCAGGTGCAGGGGCAGGGTGGGAGGGTTGGATTCCCTGGGCCTGCCATGCTGGCCCCACCCTCCGGGGAGCGAGATGTTAAATGAGACTGGGCTTGGTGATGTGTTCCTGTAATCCCAGCTCTTGGGAGGCTGCAAACATTCGGCTCACTGTGAGTCCAATCTAGTAGTGAGACCCTGAAGACCCTTTCTTGAAGTACAAAAAAAAAAAGAAAATCATATTGCATAGGAAGTTTTGATATGTGAAAGAAAAGAATTTATTATATCAGTGAAAAAATTGTGGTTTATTTAATAATGGTTGTAATCATATCATTATGGAAGAAAATAATGTTGGCCCCTTAGACATTAAAAATAAGTTAAGATTTAAATGAAACTTAAAATCTTAGAAGAAAATTTAGAAGTATTGTGTTTGTAAATTGTGGACTAAGGAGAACTTTTTACTATGATAGAATATCTAGGAACTATACCACAAATAGTGGTACTGTATTGGAAGTGGTATAGTGTCTGACTATTAAAATAGTGTCAGAAGAAAAATAGCAGATTGGGAAAAAATGTCATTTTAAAAATGGGCGAGTTAGATATAAAAGGTTATTATTGGCCAGATCTACGTAGAGTGTTCTCCCATAAAGCCTGCATTCTAAAAGGCTGAGGCAGGAGGATAACAAGTTCTAGTCCAACAAGTACTTAGTGACTTAGTGAAATCCCAGTTCAAAAAAATACAGAAAAAAAGGACTGGAGGGACAGCTCAATGCCAAGTTATCATTTGTAAGTAAAACAAAGTTTTATAAATTGATGTCATATGTGAAAAAAGAAAAATTGGAAAAAATTTAAAAGTCAACTCTGAAAAGAATAAATCCAAATGATTAAAGACACATTAAAAATTACATAACTTTATGAGGAACAACTTGAACTAACTGTTAACTATTACATCTCACCTATCCTGTTTTTTTTTTTTTATGTTGACAGTTTATTAAGTGAAAGTAAAAATTTTATTGGAAGGGGTATATGTATATACTCATTAGTGGTAGAAAGTGCAATTTCTTATAGTGGTTTTGGAAAATACTACTACAGTTATAAAATATTAATGTATTTTAAAATTCAGCAAATACATTGGTGAAAACAGCCAATACTACCCCAAGCACCAGTACTTGTGGTATAAGATAAATATTACAGCATTATTTCAAGTGGCATAGACTGAGAACAGATTGTAAATGTCTTCAAGGGGAGGAACTGTTGAGTGAGTATCCTTATAAACTGTAACATAACCAATTGAAAGAATGTGTCAGATTGTGCTGATTGAATTAGCGGGACTTTCTTCATTTTCTTCATGCATTGTTAAGGGTGAAGAGTAATATACAGAGAAATACAGTATACTGTTTGGGTAAAATAAAAAATTTTCCCTGTTCATAAAAATAGAATGTGTGTGTGTATGTGCGCGTGCACGTGTATGCATGTGTTGTATAATTTGTGTATGATTAGGTATAGAAAAAAAAAGAATGGTAGAGTACATATAAGGTTAATATTAAGGCAGATAAAGAGGAAAAGTTAGGGGCTGGAGAGATGGCTCAGTGGTCTAAAGCACCTACTTAGAACAAGCTTGGCAAAGCATCAGGGACCGCGGTTCTATCCCCCAGCACCACATGCCAGCCAGCCCCGCCCCCTGGTGGGCTGAGCTGGCCACACACACACACCACACTCTCTCTCTCTCTCTCTCTCTCTCTCTGTCTCTCAAATAAATAAATAAAAAATTAAAAAAAAAAAGAAAAGTTAAAAGACATTTTAAAAAGATGTCCACAGTAAAAGTACTGTATGTAAAACATTTTATTCAACTGAAATATGTATGTGTATTTATGTACATAAAGTGATAAATGAAAAGTTAGTCACTGATGTGTTAACAGTTACTATTTCAGGCTAATCAGATTACAGGTTATTCCTTACGTTTTTCATTGTTTGAATTTTTACATTGATTAAGTTAGAAAAAAAGCAGCTACTTTCTATGTGAAAATTGAGGAAAGCTAAATGCTAGTACTTTTTCCTCCTTGATTTTGCAGTTGTGCTATATTGACTCCCAAACCGATGGTGGAATCCCTTCTTACTGTTTTGTTTTAATGGTGATGTTTTTTCTACAACAAAGAAAACCCCCTATTCTTCCTTGCTTACTTGGAAGTTGGGTAAGCATGTGTTTGTGATATATATGTGCATGTATATATTTGTGGTTTGCTTTTGCAGAGTGCTCTGGTCAAATATTTTAAGCTGGAATTCTGGTTTGTCTGTTTGTCCATTTTTTTTTTTTTTAATAATTTTCCCACTACCAATTTGGAATGCCTTTTTATATAGATTGAAGGCTTTGACCCAAAAAGAATGGATGACTTTCAGCTGAAGGGCATAGTAGAAGAGAAGTTTGTGAAGTGGGAATATAAGTCAAGTAGTGGAACTGAGAAAAACTCAATTGCTGAGGAAAACAAAGCTAAGGCAGACCAACCAAAAGATGATACCAAGAAGACAGAAACAGACAACCAAAGTAATGCCATGAAGGAAAAACATGGCAAAGTAAGCTTTTTTATTTTTTTGTTTTTGGCTTTTCTATCTGTAGAATTTGTGATACTTTCAATTGAAGCTATTTTAATTGTAGATTCACTGACTTTGAATAAGCCTCTTGGCCTCATTTTCCTCATCTGTAAAGTGAGGGGTTGATCTGGTTTAGTTTTTCAGTACTGAGATTCTCTGATTTTTGTTTCACTTTGGAAGACTTGTATTTGAATCATGTCAAGGTAATTCTTTGTATCTTGTTTAAACAAAGAAAATTTTCTTTAGGCTGTGACCAAAACTTTAGTATATGGGGATTATCTTGCCAATTTTTGTGAAGAACTGAAAATCCTTTGCTTTTTGAGGGGGTGGCTTGCTTAGTCATTCAGTGTTCATTTATTAAGGATCTGCTGTATGCCAGGCATTATCTTGAGTGTTAGCAAACCAAAGGTGATTGTACAGTGGTTGTGTCCTCCAGAATCTATGGCATTATTATAGAGATACTAAAATTTCTGAAACCATTGCTATAGCTAAACTGAATTATTTGTGTTTTTCTAGGTGTATGTTTTTACTCCATCCCCCCCTTTTCTCCTTATATTACTGTCTACTGTCTCTTTAAACCACAAGTACTCTTACGTAATGTTCTTGGTTGTTACTTCATTGAGAAAACAAAGCAGTCAAAAGAAAACATCATCTGCTGTCATTTGCACTCACACTCTACCTTGCTACTTGTCTTCATAAAGGAGCTTCTCATGTTTTATTTATTTTTATTCATTTTTTGGTGGAACCAGGGATTGAACTCAGGCCCTTGCGCATGACAGGCAGCCACTTATTCTACTGAGCTATCTCTCTGGCCCTAACTTCTCATGTTTTGATCTAGTCCTTTTCTTTACTTCTCTGCTCCAGAATATTACTGCAGTGGGTTCTTTCTTTCCTAAATTACAAATTTTTCATTCTTCATTGAATCAAACCTACTTTCATTTCTTCCATTTTAAAGAAAAATCTCAGCCAGAGACAGTAAGACAGAAATTTGAGCCAAGCCTAGATAACTTAGCAAGACCATGTCTTAAAAACATAGATGCCTGAGAATGTAGTGCAATGCTTATGTCCTGGGTCCAATCCCTAGTACTACAAAAAACAGAATGATTTTGGCATCATTCCTTCTCCCAGCTATTTCTTTTTACCCATTTGCAGTAAAGCTTCTTGAAAGAATAGACTATAATTCACTTTCTAATTTTTCTGTGTCCCCCTAACTCACTATTTGTCTACCAAACCTTGTAACATCAATGTTAGTAACCTCCAGTTTGCTAAACCTAATGATAATTCCTCTTTTTATCATTTTTTTTTTTTTTTTTTGTTACCAGAAACATTTGTCAGTTGATGACTTCCTTCTTGGAAACATTTCTTCACTTTCAGGGTAGCATCCCCATAGGTTCTCAGGCTCCCCACCCCCATCAAAAGCTACATAGCTTTTCTTTTCTCTTTTCATTCATTCATTCATTCATTCATTCATTCATTCATTCTTTATGTGTCTACACACTTCTGTGGTAATCTTTGGATTTTCAGTACCATCTGTATGATAATGACTTTTCAACTTAAATCTCCATGCAGACCTCTCTTGAATTCTCTAATTGTATATCTTACTAGATCCTAGTGAGATAGGTTGAACTGCAATGTCCTTGCTGAGTTCTAGGTTCCCCTTATACTGTTTACTACACAGTCCCATCTCAGTTGATGATTGATAGCTGTCTTTTTCACTTGTTAAGTTCAATACCTCAAACTTTCCCTAACTCCTGTTTGGATTTTATACCTCATTTCTAGTCTTGTCAGTAATGCTGATCACCTCTCACTATGTCCACTGCTACCATGCTAGTCTTAGCCACTGTCATTTCTGACCTAGATTACTGCCATTATCTCCTAGTAAATTTTCCTTCATTTGTCCTTGCTTCTTACAGTCTATTATATATTTATTTATTTTAATCATTTATTTATTTATTTGGTACAGGGTCTTGCTATACAGCTCAGACTCTTAGTGATCCTCTTGTCTCAGCCTCCTCAGTGCTGGGATTACAGGTGTGCACTATCATGCCTGGTTTTGGTGGCCAGCATGGCATGCCCAGGATTCCAGGGCTGGCATGGCATGTGGTACCAGGGATCAAACCCCGGTGAGCCTGCCAAGCAGGCACTTAGACCACTGAGCTATCTTCCCAGCCCAATAGTCTATTATCAGCATGATAAACTGGTTGCTTCTCATTTCATTTAGAATGAAAGGCAGGTAGTCCTTACTAGTCTAGCTCTATTTTCTTCTTCTTCTTCTATAACAGTTTTCATTTTAGGTTAGGCAACATCTACTTTGTCTGTGTTTATTATTTTCCTGTTCTAAGAACACCTTTCCATTTTTTTCAGATCATGTTTTCTCAACAAATCTTTTTCTTAACCTCTCAGTTTAACACTGTAAACTTCTGTGGCTATAGTGCCATAATTTTTCCTCCACAACACTTAGTTCTTCTAAACTACTGTTATTTACTATGTTTCTCTTTTTTCCTAGAAAGTAAGCTTCATGAAGGCAAGGTTCTTTGATTTTTGCCAGAGATCTATCCCAATTGCTAGTACACTGCCTAGTACATAGTAGGCAGTCAGTGAATAGCTATAGAATTAAATGTATGAGGGCTGGTGAGTGGGCTCAGTGGTCTAAAGCACCTACTTAGAACAAGCTAAGCCAAGCAAAGCACAGGGACCACAGTTCAATCCCCCAGCACCACATGCCAGCCAGCCCCGCCCCCTGGTGGACTGAGCTAGCCACACACAAAAATAAATAAACAAATAAATAAATAATTAAAAAAAAGAATTAAATGTATGAATAACCATTTCATGCATTTATGCTGTATAGTGGTCACTTGTAGGCATCTTCATTTAGCTAATTCCTTTGGAATTCAGATATTGACTCTTCCTTTATGACTCCTTTGATTTAGAGTCCTATCATGTATCCTTAGCATGTCACCTTAACTATAATGGTTAAATTATTTCTTGTCCACCTCACCTTATTGAGTGGCAGTATAGTATAGTGAGTCACAATATGGACTTACTAACTAGAGGGGCTCTTGAGTCAGATTCTTGCCTTACAGTATCTACTTCATAGAAAAGTGAATAAGGGGTTGGGGAGATAGCTCAGTAAAATAAGCGCTTGCCTGGCAAGCACAAAGGCCTGAGTTCAGTCTCTGGTTCTGCAAAAAAAAAGAAAAGAAAGTGAATAGTACATAGTAAGCATTATAAGTGTGAGCTCTCATTATTTTATCGTAATTCCCAGAGATGTAGGTACTTAAAAAATGTTTATTGAATAAAGGAATTATTTGAAAGTGAGGCTAGATGTGGTAGTGCACTCCTGTTATCCAAGCTCTTAGAAAGTTGATGCAGGAATATTGCCACAAGTTCCAGGCCATCCTACATAGTAAGTTTAAGGCCAGCCTAGACTACATGGTGAGATGCTGTGTTCAAAAAAACAAAAAAAGTTTAGATTTTTCAAAAGTAATCGTTACAATAAGGAGATGTAGTGTCTGTTTTCCAGTGATTTGCAACTTTGATTTTACATGTGACTCACCTTAAGAAGCTTTAAAAGCCCTAGTATCTAGTCCATTCCAGGTCAGTAAAATCATGTTTGTGGGAGTGGTATAAAATTGAGGTATTAGTGTACTTTAATGTTCACCAGTGATTCTAATGTGCAGTCAAAGTTGAGAATTACTGTTTTAATAGAACACAAAATTCCTGGCAATAAACTGGGAGTCAAACAGACAACTTTTTAGCAAATTATTCCTTAATGTCTCAGTTTTTGAACATGTAATCCCTAAGTCCTTTTCTAACTTAAAATTCATTGACACTATAGTTTTATGAAGTATAAATGAAAAGATTTTTTTTTTCCAGTCTCCTTTAACATTGGAAACACCAAATCAGGTACCCCTGGGACAGTTATGGCTAGAGCTGCTAAAATTTTACACACTGGATTTTGCTTTGGAGGAGTATGTCATATGTGTACGAATACAAGATATTTTAACAAGAGAGAACAAAAACTGGCCAAAAAGGCGAATAGCCATTGAAGGTGAGATGATGTATATCATATGGAGACATATTTTGTGTGTGTGTGTGTGTGTGTGTGTGCGCGCGCACCAATCATAAAATAATGTTACAAATTGTATCTCCTAGGCTACAGGACTAGAGGACAGTCTGGGCAAATGAGTGATATAATATCCCAAAAGAAAAGATAAAAGGAAAACAATTGATGTTGACAGACAAGGTTCTACTTGTTAGCCCAAGAATATCAATTATAGTATGACAAGAGATAAAAAATGTTAGGTCCTGGAATTTGAAGTTTTCATTCAATGACAATTTGTAAAGGAGGTGTAATAGCTTTTTCTCCGGTAATTTCAACATTGGGACAATGTTTAGGGACCTAATCCTCTCAGCTATTCTCTTAATAGTTATTTTATAACTGTGTTCCTTTTCCTTTTGCTTTACTATTTTATAGAAGAAACAAAAGAAAAGATACTGTTATTATTTTTTCCTTACTCAGTTTTCAGGAACTATCATTGGGAACCTAGGTTAGAAAAACTTTGGGAAAATGTTCTTTGCTGGCAATCTAAGTAGTTAAGATATGTTTGTGTGAACTTAGAAATACAGTTTGTCAGTAGAGAGTTGCTATTGACTGTTTTCTTTTTTTACTAGATCCATTTTCAATCAAGAGGAATGTTGCACGGAGCCTAAACAGCCAACTTGTTTATGAATACGTTGTGGAGAGATTCAGGGCAGCTTATCGTTATTTTGCCTGTCCTCAGAGGAAGGGTGGAAATAAGACTACAGTGCACTTCAAGAAAAAAGAGAAGGGGAAAATAAACAATAAGAAACCAGTGAAGTCTGACAATGTCGTGACCAGCTGTTCTGTTCTACTTGGGGAAAGCACAGAAAAAATAAATACAGAAAGAGGTCAATCTGATAAACATGATGATGTGGAATGTACATCACAGAGATGTATTATTATTGACAATGGCCATTTGTTGGTAAATGAACTAGGTTTGGCTGACCACAGACGGGAATCTTCATCTCTTTCTGTTGCCAATGAAGACACTGAATTAGAGCCAAAATCAGTGAAGAAGAGAGATGGCTTAGTGCCTTCAGAAACTTGTTTTAAGAAAGAGTTCAGCCAGTGTAATTGCATTGGGTCTGCTGATCTAGATGAGTCTGCTGGAACAGACTGCAGGTCAAATTTAGAAATAGAGAATTCACACCAGATTATGTGCATCGACACACCTGCTACCTCTTGCTACTGTAAAGCTACAGAAGCTTCTGACCTTAATGATGATGATAACCTACCGTCCCAGGAATTATATTATGTATTTGATAAGTTTATTTTGACCTCTGGCAAGGTAGGATACAATTTATAAACTATATGTAAGATATTTTGGTTAGCTTGACCATTTCTTTATAGTTTTAAGAAAACAAAAATAGTTTCAATTGTGGTGGCTGTTGATTTAGAATAATATTTTTATGTATATTTGTCTTTTACTTATTGAATTTTTCTTACAGTTGTGTTTAGTATATACCAAAAGTTTATTAGTTGGTTTCCTTCACTTTCTCATACCTAAAAGGATTTATTCAGTGTTTTATGAAAATCAGTTTAGGCTGGGTGTGGCCATGCATACCTATAATCCCAGTACTTGGGAGGCTGAGGCAGGAGTATTGCTGCAAGTTTGAGGTCAGCCTGGACTATATAGTGAGTTCAAGGCCACCCTGGACTGCATATGCATATATCAAAAAGAGAAAAAAAAAACAATTTAGCAAAGGCTGCATATATTTTAAATCTTGTATGTATATGTGTATATGTATTTTTTCTTAAAGAATAACAAACTTTTAAATTTTAATAGTATCCTGTTTTAAGGATTTTTTTAGAGGAGTGAAAGAGGGAGTATAAATATTCTAAAAGTAGTTGAGGGAAACTAAGATTAGAAACAAGATAGAAAACAATCAGATTTTTGCCATGGTGCTTGTATTATTGGTCGCGCACGTGCGCTCTCTTTCTCTGTCTCTCTGTCTCTGTCTCTGTCCCTGTCTGTCTCTGTCTCTGTCTCTGTCTCGGTCTCGGTCTCGGTCTCGGTCTCGGTCTCGGTCTCGGTCTCTGTCTCTTTCTCTCTCTCAAAATGTATTTTATACAAGATCTCAGTACATAGATCTGACTTATAGTGACTCTCCTGTTTTCAGCCTCCCCAGCACTGGAATTATAGTCTGTGTACCCAAGGGTGGAGTCGGTGCAGCATGTGGTACCAGGGATTGAACCCTGGTCTCTGCAGTTGCCTAAGCAGGTGCTTAGTCTGCTGAGTTGTCTCGTGATCTCTTATAGATAAGAATACTAATTTTCCTACTTATAAAGTGGAATAATTTAAATTTTAACACATTGCATTGTACAAAATACTCTAATGAGCACAGAATAAGCAGTAACTGCTTTGTTAATAAGATTTAGCTGGGCAGGTTGGTGTTGTTAATTCCAGCACTGAGAGAGTCTGAAGCAGGAAGAGTGCAAGTGTGAATACTGCCTAGGCAATGTAATGAGACCTTGTCTCAAAATAGAAAAAGAACTGGGGATATAGCCTATGGGTTTGATCCCCAGCACTTAAATATGTGCATATTTAGCTAAGTTATGTTGTTTCAGTTGCAGTGCTCATAACTGAAATACTATTATTAGCATCCAGAATAATAAAACTAAATGAATGTGTCATGTGTCAAATCAGTAGGATATTAAAAAAAAAAAACAAAAAAAAAAACTGGACAGCCTTTCAGATCTGTTGTTTCAGCAGTAATTATTGACAAGCTTTAAAATTACCAACTGTTTGTTTTAAAGACCTATTGAAATAAGATTAGTATTTCTAAAGGTATATAGCTGGGTGTGAGGTACATGTCCATATCCCAGCACTCTGGAAAGGAGGCTTGAGTTAGAGTTAGAATGCCATGCATTCAAGACTGGGTACATAGTGAATTCAAGGCTGGCCTGCATTACAAAGCAAGAACCTGTCTCAAAAAACCAAACCAAAGCAAACCACACCACACCAAAGAAGAGTAGAATAGTTGAACTTTAACTCTACATTTTGTAGAAAATTCCTGATACTGCAAAAAGTAAGTGTTTTAATGTCTATTTTATTTCATTAACTTTTTTTTTTTTTTTTTTTTAACCTCTGGAAAGCATGGATTATAAGAACTGAGCTACATAAAAGATGCTTTTAGATCTGCTTTCTAAGTGATGAGACGGGTCAAAAATGTATTGGATGACTAGACTTTTTTTTTTTTTTTTTTTTTTGAAACCTTTGTATAGCCGCCAACAATAGTATGCAGCATCTGCAAAAAGGATGGTCATTCAAAGAATGATTGCCCCGAGGATTTCAGGAAAATTGATCTAAAACCTCTACCACCAATGACAAGCCGATTTCGGGAAATACTTGATTTAGTATGTAAAAGATGTTTTGGTAAGTATTTTAGTGTAAACCACTGGGACTGTGTTGTTAGATATTTAATATTTCCTAATTTCAAAATGATTTGCATACTAATTTGTTTTTTTAATTTTAATTTTTTTACTTTTTATTTTTTTCGTACTTTGTTTTAATAGAAGTTTTGAATAGATGAGGCTTACTTACTTATTTATTGTTTTTTTGTTTTGTTTTTTTTTTTTTGGTGCTGAGGACTGAACCCAGAGCTTCCAGCTTGCTAGGCAAACATAAAACTAAATCCCTAGCCCTTTTTTTTTTTT